AAATTCTCTTTACCAGATACCGGTTTGGCTCAGTGGATAGAGCGTTGGCTTGGGGACTGAAGGGTCCCGGGTTCGATTCCGGTCAAGGGCATGTACCTTGGTTGCGGGCACATCCCCAGTGGGGGGGGTGCAAAAGGCAGCTGATCGATGACTCTCTCTCATTGATGTTTCTAACTTGCTATCTCTCTCCCTTCCTCTCTGTACAAAATCAATAAAATATATTTTAAAAAAAATTCTTTTTACCATAATCAGCATTGTGCCACTTGTGATGTATTTACTCTAACTGATTCACTATTTTAGCTACCTAATTTTCCTAAACAGACTAAATTCCCTGGGAAAGAGACCATGCTTTGTATTTTCAAAAATGCCTGGCATAGATGTTGCTGTTAATTAATATTTCATTTATTGAGTTTAATTTATTTTAACATTTGCTGTGACTTAAAATCTACAGATATATATGTCATAATTGTCCCCTATAATGATACAATATAGGGATTATACACTGAGTGGCCAGATTATTATGATCTCTGAATGCATATACACAAACACCCCCATATATATATATATATATATATATATATATATATATATATATATATATATGTATATACACACACACACACACACACACTGAATGGCCAGATTATTTTATATATATATATATATGTATATATATATATTATGGCCAGGTGCATGAATTAATGCATGGGTGGGGGGTCCGGCCAACCTGGCCAGGGGGAGAGGACATGGGTGGTTGGCTGGCCTGCCTGCTGGTCAACCTCCTGGTTGAGAGGACAATTTGCATATTAAGCCTTTCATTATATAGGATATACACTGAGTGGCCAGATTATTGTGTGTTCAGAGATCATAATAATTTGGCCACTCAGAGTATATACTATATAGTTTCATAAAAATTAACTAGTATAAAAATCATAAGCTCATGCATGTATGAAGGCACTTCCCATCTTCCCAAGACTTGTGTGTTTTTGTTTTGTTTTGTTTATTTGCATAAAAGGAACATAATGAATAGAGCTTTGCAGGATCTGTCCAATGCAAAGCCATAAAGCTAAAGCTAGCTGGTGGCCCTGCCGAACCAAATAAAAGCTGCTAGTGTAAAATAAGATGAGGAATTGGGGATTAAATATGACAATACAGTCTGTTAAGGCAGGTGTTTATATTTTTCCAATGTCTACAGAGAGAATGTAATACTACCATGTACTTTTTATTATAAGGGAAAAAACCATGCTTTTGCCAGAGTTAGAACTACTTTAGCAGAAATGAATTCATTTAATTTCACTAACTTCCTGGGAAGAAATTTGGAGAACAAATTAGGTCTATGTTATGAGGTAAGATACTGTCCAGGGAGTTGAAGCGAAGGGGCTCACGACTGTTTACCAAAATTGGTAGTAAAAACTCTAGTCTCCTCATGGGGAAGCTGCATCTGTCCATGGGACAACATAATGGGTTTATAAATGTGGTCTGGTATGAAATCATTTCTAGATTTAAAAAAAAAAATCACATCAACATATTCCAAAATAGTTCTCTACTAAAACTGTTTGGAAAAACAGACACATAAGAATGAGGGAGGGGGAGGGGCGGGCAGAGTTGGAGAAAATTTAGGCAATGTCTTATTCAACTGTCTTATTTCTTTGAACCATATGCCTACACAGGGCATCAGAGGGTAAAAGATGAAATATTTATTTTCACAACTTCATATAATAGTCACTATTTTTTCCTCGGGATACATTTTAAATTACTAGAGAGGGAAGAGAAATATAAAAGATGAAAATGACTACTTAAATTCCCAGGGTCCCCAGGGGCAAAGCCAAGTAACCATCAAACCTCCCCTCAGAGAAGAGTTTAACTGTTTTATGGGGAATCCACTGGGGACACCCTGTGCTAACTGGAGAGACAAAAGAGGTTTGCTGTAAAGTCTTTAGCTTCAACGCCCAAGAAGACAACCATGGATTAGGTGACCAGAGAGAGTATTTGGAAACGTCCCTGCCTGTGGTGCTTCTGAGTCATGGCTTCAGGCAGGAGGAAAGCTGATTTTCAATGATGTAGCTCATGCTTCAGCAATGTTTTGCTACAGACAGATGGTCCATATGGAAACTATGATCTGGCTTCACATACAAGACCGTGATGAGCCAAAGCAACATTTTCATGTTTTCTGCTTCTAGTCAAGTGGCCTGGTTTACAATATATTATCCTCAGACATGGTATCTCATGTGTCCTGCTTTTCAATTCTGAGTTGTGATTATTTTCAATGCTATAAAACTTTAAAGACACACTTTTGTTTAACAAAAAGACCTGAAATATTTTGGGTGTTAACTATATTCCAATACTACTTCACTTAAGGGACTGGCTTGCTTTGATGCCTCAGTAAAGACATGGTCCAAAGGAGGCGGGGGTTCTTATCAAAATCATAAGCATCATAAAGTTTCTTCCCAACAAGATCCAGTAATAAGCTTTAACACTTTTTTTGAGACATTCTAATTACAAAAAAAAATAAAAAATCAAATTATTAAGCCAATTTGCTTAGCACTAGCAAACAACATAACTCACTAGACAATGAGTTTGGAGGATATAGAGTATTCAGTTATGGTTTGCTGATTTAATAATTAATAGAGAAGTAACAAGCATTTATTTCTGGATTTTTCTTGATTGGGTTTAAAATTTATAGGTGAAAAACTGTATAGATGAAAAAAATTACAGTTGTTGGCACAATACCAAAGTGGAACACACGAACAATACTTCTGTGATTGCATGTTTTGTATAGCACGTGGGAGGGCTGCAGAATCGCTGAAATTAATATGTGGGAAATAGCTGCACTGGTTCCTTCGAGGTATATGGAAACTATCACATGTACTCACTCCGCTTATAAAACTTTGCAAAGGCTCTGATGAAAAATGATCACGTTTCTTTATTATAATTAAAATATAGTGGTCTCAGATGTTTTTCTAAAGAAGTAAAAATATGAGGCATAGATAATATGAGCACTTTGTTTAAGAAAGAGAACTTAAGGAACTATAATTTAAATGATTTTCAAGGAGATTTATTAAAATATGATTGGATTGTATGCCTGAGATTAGTACAGAATAACAAGATGTCCCCATATAATAAATGGACCTCATATTTTATAGATTATAGTTCTCAGCTTCTGGTATTTTTTAGTTTGATCTTAAAAAACCTTAAAGAAAACTATGAAATTTATGCCTCTTGACTCACTATGATAAGTATAGGGGTGCCATGCTTGAGTTTTATTTACACCAAGTCATCAGAACCAAAGACTAAAACTGACCCATTTTAATTCTTTCCTAGATATATACCTTTGAATATACTGGTGATCAAAAAGTAAAACTCTAAGATTAATTTTAAAACAATAAACGATAATAGTCATGTGAAATAATCCAAACCTGAAATATATTTTTCTACACATTCTTTTATTTTTATCTTGCTTTAAATTTTTGAAAAGACTTTTACCTATTAACTTTATTTTGGCTTATAATTATTACCTATCAAAGAGATGTTTCACAATTGAGGTGATACCTAGTTTTTTATTCACTCTGACAGATGATATTGACTTTTATAACTTATCAGCTATACAACCTACACAACTTGTCTTCTCCTAGAACTGCTTCTACTCTTAAGAAAAGATTTTGAGGGGGAAAAGGCAGTTTTTAGAAGTACCTGTTCATGAGGTTGCACGAGACACTCTGCAGACAACCCATGTCTAGAACAGCACAGGGAACAGCGAAACATTTCTTACAAATGGCATTTTTGTTCGGTGTTATGATTGTAAAATGTGTGTCTTTCAGATGTACTTTATCACTAACAATAAAGGGTTTTTTTGTGTGTGTATGTGTTTTGTTTTGTTTTGTTTTTAGAACTGGCACATAAATATTTGTATACTACTTACATGATGTATGGGATTGTCCTTCTTAATAATGTTGTGTGCTTCCCTCCCACCCCATTTTGCTAAATATTAGCTCTTTAACAAACTCGCTCTTCTTTGTCAACACTTAAGTTACAAGCTAATATTCTGGAGCAGAAGTAAATGTTTATGATGGCATGTTTGTTTGTTTTTTCTCATGTAGGACAATCAGTGCTACTTTAGAACAGTGGGAATCCACTATTGGTCATCATTTTGGTGCAAGAGTAAACAGCCCTGTACAACATGTGGCCTAAATATCAAGAGTTTAATGTAAATGCATAGCACAATTTTTAATGAGAGCTGGTAATATTAACTACAAGGTTTAAATATTTAATGTACTGATAATTTTATTATTTTTTTCTGCCTGTTGAGAGAGAATAACTGTGATACTTCTGAATGGTGCATCAACTCCTTCAGGTGATAGGACAGAGTGCTATTATAAATGTATCTATAAAGAATATAAGGAACTGAAGTGCATAAAAGAACATTCTGCCTTCTTCACAAATGCTGCTATAACACTAAATCCATTTCCAAACACATGCAGTTTTTTTTAAATAATTAGCGAGATCAATCTAAATTCCATTTATAAAAATAGTTATGAAATGGTAAGTTACTGTAAAGTGTAAAAGCTGTGTTTGTAAAAAAAAATCTTCTGTACTTCTGTATCTTTTATTTATCCTATTTGTTTTGCTGGTGATAAACGGGGTTAAAAAAAACAACATTATCTTTCAGCTTAATTCACACATTGGATGGAGAAGTAGGTACCAATAGTTAGAGGCCTCTATGATATTTGTACATCTCTTTTAGGTAACAACGATAAAAACCATGAAGAAAGCAACTTTATAAACATGAAGGCAAAAAAGGAAAAACAATTGTAAAAACAACAACCACAATTCTGAATATAACAGAGATGACAAATGGTGCGAACTTTTGAAAACAAATGAAAAGCATTATCCAATAGGATGCAACAAAATTGGAAAAAGAAGCAACAGTGCAGCATGAGACACGGAGTCATCTGAAAGAAGCAGTGATGGACAAAAGCCACAGAGAGGATTTTTTTCCTTACTTGCACAAGTATCTTGAGGGGTTTGAAAGGTCTTTCACCATGAAGCACTCGCCTCCATTCACACAGAAAGTTTTCTCCTTCTCTGCACATTTTACAAGATGGCTTGTCCCGGTGGTAGATGTAGATGTAGCTGGATGGAAGATAAAGAAGGGGAAAGGTTTAGAGCTACCTGCCCCCTTTCTAGACATCCGTTAATCTTACATTTCTTAAGAGGAAGAGTTCGAAGAAAGTGAAACAGTCTCCACTAAACTCTCAGGCTTAATAAACAACAGCAAAGAAGTAAAATAATTTCTGGGTGTAGATAAACATGACACAATTATAAAAGGGTAACTATTATTAGCTAATTTAATTACAGTAATAGGAAAAGGGCTCAACATTTTCTATAACCAGTATTTTATCTTCTAGAGAAGTTGAAAAAGAGCAGATCTATTGTCTTTAAGTAAAATACATTTTTCAGGAAGGCTCAAAGATAGTGAGTGATATGAAGTCATGTAAGTGCTACTCAATTTAGATCTCAATTTTTAATGGCAACTAATAGATAAAATTATTTATTTTGAAGATTATGTTTTATATGTATTTTGACCATATTTTTTAGATATAATATATAGCAAAAAAATACAAGTTGGCTTATATGATCCTTATGAAAAGTTATATATTAATTGATTATATATATTATCATACACATTGGGGGGCATTATTTTTAAAATTTCCACTCCATTCTAATTTCCAATCAGAAGAATGTTTTTTGAAATGCCCAACTGCCATCATACTTTGGAGGAAATGGAAAGACAGTCTAATATTGTTAAAAATGTAGAGTAAGCACAACAATATTCACCCATTTTGAATCATGAGTAGAAATTAGTCTTAATTATGGTTTTTAATATCCTCATATAAAAAGGTTGATATTCACTCATCAAACTTCACAATGATCTGAAAGTGATACACCCACGGTTTGGTGCATGGATTAAGTGAAGCTGAAGTTCTCAGTCCTGAGGCTCGAAGGACATTTAGTACCAGAATGTCTCCTCACATCACTGGGAACACACGGGCAATACTCAGTCTCAACCCAAAGCAGTCTAATGCACACCATGTGAGTCCAGACAAAAACCAGCACCAATATGTGCAGCCAATGAAGAGTCCAGTTACTCTCGGGGGGGGGGGGGGGGGGGGGGGGGGGAGGAGGGGGGAATCCACCTTTAGACAAAATGCTTTTATTGTCTACTCATCATTCTTTGTGGTTTTTAACCCTTGTCTTCCTTGTTCTTATTTTGTTATCTGCATATGGTATTCAGATGACTGTGTACTTTGATCTAATCTGTCATGTATTACTTTCCATTTTCTTTTGCTTTTCGTTTGCATTTTTTTCACAAGTCCGCATTTTGTTTTGACTTTTAACCCAGTTTCTCCTCTAACCCTACTTATTTTTTTACTCTACCCTATAGAAACCCTGATTAATCAGCCTCTGAATCACTCAAGATCTTTCCTGCCTCTTATTCTCCCATTTTAAAATTAGGCCTGGTTTTGGGCCATCTCGCTGTTCTCAGCATGGCTTTCCAGGCTAAATGCAAAGGACAGCTGAAATGACTTGTACTTAGGAGCTAGATCTGGCCCAAATCCCACCTCCTACTAGTTTGTGTCCTTGAGCAAGTCATTTAACCACCCAGGTGCTCAATTTTCTCATTTAGAAAAGAGGGGCAATGGCTCTCTTACTGAATATTTGTAGAAATTATAAATAAACTGGCACAAAACTGGCATTCAAGGAATAATAGCAGGTATTATTACTGGGCAAGTAGAGAGGGCATTCATTAATCAAATAAAAGCTTGATAATAAAAATTTGGGGATTTCAAAGATGCATGTTATTATTATTTTTAAACATATTTTATTGATTTTGTACGAAGAGGAAGGGAGAGAAACAGAGAGTTAGAAACATCGGTGAGAGAGAGTCATCGATCAGCTGCCTCCTGCACACCCCCCACTGGGGATATGCCCACAACCAAGGTACATGCCCCTGACAGGAATCGAACCCAGGACCCTTCAGTCCCCAAGCTGACGCTCTATCCATTGAACCAAACTGGTCTCAGAAATGTATGTTATTTTTTGAGTTATTAGTTTGGATAATTAAAAATGGCTCAATTTTTGTCTTATTATTGAAACAAAAAGTTCTTTTCAAAATGCATTTCAAGGTATCCTTCACAGGTCTACAAGCCAAGCAAAAGGCACTAGGGAGAGTGAGGAGAAAGGTGATCCTAATATTTGTTATTAGCTATATTTACCATCTTTATCAGGAGGAGGGAATTAAATTGGCGACATTTGGTCTGTAAAATTATAGACAATATGTCTATACATCACACAACACAATTTAACATAATATTATATTTAAATGCCAACAACAGCTTACTTAGGTGCTGTGTGTTAATATTTTCATTCATGGCAATGGCTTTTTGAAAAATATTAGGAGGAAGTTTGCTTCCAGCGTTAAAGGTTTTGCGCTTAAGACCTTCAACTGCTGACAGGATTGTAGGGGATGACAAATTGAGCACGGTATCCTTGCTGCCCCAGATGACAATGCAGAAGGGACCACCTGCCCTGTGCTGTCACCACTCACGTCCCTGCAGAGGAACGTGGAGCCTCAAGTGGACCCCAGCGGTCTGAATCCCTGACAGGTTCTACAGATTACCCCTCACCCACGCTGCACAGTGAACACTGTATCAGGCTCTCTCAGCACAAACCCTGAGGCTTTTGCTAAAATTAACAAAACCAACATCCCCCCAAAGCAGACACTCCATATAAGTTGTAAATTAACAATAAAGATCAGCAGTGATATAAGCAAGAGATAGATGCACCATACCTCTTCCTTGAACTTTCTGATCTTGTGTTATCTATCACAGAGGCAAGATAAATAAATGTGCCCTAATGCTAGAAATAATTCCTATTTTTTAAAGTCTTTTAGAAACATTTCCCCCTGAAATAATTATCCTTTTAATGCTATTCTGCAGCTCCAAGTTATGACACATTCATTGGAACAGTTCAGAGATCATTAGTTGAAACTAGCAATGGGCTCTCTGATAGTAAAGTAATTCCTGAAGACAATGAAGTAGCAAGAAACTCATAGGGTCTCAGACTAATTGTACTTGGCCCTTTAATCTGCTAATAGCAATGAGAACAGAAATGATCACAGAATTGTAAAGCATCAGAGAACTCCCAGATGATGCAAAGGGTGAACTGAGTGGGCACAGCTGTTCTGAACCAACAGACTGACACAGGGGTACAGTGTAATTGTCAGAGGAGCCTGGATGGGATGGTGATATGTGCTCCCTTCACATTTGCCAGTTTTTTTTTTTAATTAATTAATTTATTTAGTTTTTTATTTTCCTTAGTTAAACCAAGTGGACACTCAGTCCTAACAGAACTATTAATTTTGCAGTGATATCTTTTCTCTTTGGCTTACACACGCTATATTGCGAAGTCAGGCCATTTGGCAATTCTGCCAGAAATTAATGAAACAGACAAAGCAGCCCCTTAAACCAAGCTGTGGCAGCCCCATTCTTCCTGGGAGCTTTGGAAGGAATTTATTAGAGGAAGTGAAAGGTTTTGTAGATAGAATGTATCTCAATATATAGAAGAAGATCCTCTTAGCAACTGCATTACAAGGAAGAAAGTATAAATAAATTAGTAACTTGTTGTCAGAGAATGCACTTTGGGGTGTTTCACTCTTGACCTGGATTCTCTTGGCAATTTAGATCAGGACTAAGATTTTGGAGACTAAGATCACAATTTCCAGACTCTCCAAACCCCATGCCCCATATATTCGATCCCTTCCCCCCCCACTTCCTCCCTTCCTCCCTTCCTCCCTTCCTCCTTTCGTTTTCTTTCTTTCTTTCTTTCTTTCTTTCTTTCTTTCTTTCTTTCTTTCTTTCTTTCTTTCTTTCTTTCTTTCTTTCTTTCTTCCTTCCTTCCTTCCTTCCTTCCTTCCTTTCTTCCTTCCTTCCTTCCTTCCTTCCTTCCTTTCTTCCTTCCTTCCTTCCTTCCTTCTTCTTTCCTTTCCTTATTTCCACCATTCTTTAATAATTGCCTATTATGTGCAAGGAAACTAGAGTTACTGAGGTTAAAAATTGTAAAATGAATAATTCTCCTAAAAGTAGATCTTTATAGATAAAATGTAGTGACCAAAACACTGCAGTTAACTGTTTCACCAGTTATTGTTTGTGTGACTCCTGTCCAGCTAACCTGCCTCAGTAATCTCAGTGTAAAACTGAGACATCTCTGGGTGGCTGTGAAGTGTGAGAAAAGTCTTCAGCTATAACACTGCATACAAATATATCATACTGTTACTGTTAGTAGTGGTTGAATAGGGGTCAAAGAGAAGCTAAAACATTTCTGCTCAGGCTCTGAAATTCTATATAATCAAGTATCAAATGTTGTTTGTTAGCGAATTATTGTTCTGTGAAATATGAAGAGAGATGGTCTAATTTGGAAGGGTAACCACTGCATGCTTGTCAGCAGAAATCAATAATCTACTCAATTTAAACTTCATCACAACTGCTTGCCCTAAAACTGCCTTTAAAAATAAATGGAAGAACAATTCATGTTAAAAGAAAAAGAAAACCTAACATCTTAATTATTTTCACCTTTCAAAAATCCACATAATTCCTTAATATTTCTGACTGAACTTGCCAGTTATAGGAATTAAGCTCACTCATAATATTGTGTTATTTCAACAGTTTAAACCAATAAAATATTAAAAAAAAAAAAAACACTATGACATACATAGTATAACTTAACATTGGGGAAATCATCTTTGACTGCATACTTTTAAAAATATATGAACTATTGTAACTGTATGACTAACCTGATGATAAAAGCAGTTATTAAAAGTCTACCTTTTAAAAATATCGTACATAATAAAAATTTACTATGCTAAGTCTGATCCTTTGTTCGGCCATTCAACCAATCAAAGCATAATATGCTAATGACATGCTAAGGCCGCTCAGCTGCTCACTTTGACTTGCACTAACCACCAGGGGGCAGATGCTCCAACTGGTAAGTTCACTTGCTGCCTGGCTGATCATGATTGAGCAAGACAGGCTGGACATGCCCTGGAGCCCCCTCCCTCAGTCCCTCCCTGGCTG